TCCAGCTGCGATCCTCGTGTTTATTGCGCTTTTTCTGGGAAAACCTTGTGTCTTCTTGGGAGGGAAGAGGAAAACACCCCAGTACTCGCTAATCTCTYTGCAGCTGCTGACCCCTTGCATGTGACCGGGGTTGGGCTGGAAAGTTTCCTTGGAGGAAAGGAGAAAGCCATTTGGCTGTCGGGGAACGGAAAAACCGAAGGAGCCGCTCTCCATCCTGGTTTCCTTGGGACTGGCAGATGCTCGCAGTGGTTTTGGGCTGGCGCAGGCTGCGGCTGCTCTCCAGGATGTGCTGTGCTGTCTGCAGGAGACCTCGGAGCTGCAGCGCCCGCAGCCGCCACTCCCGGCTCCAGTGAGCCGCGGGTGGGCACGGGATGGGCCCCGCTGTGCTGGGGAGGTGCGTGGGAGCGGGGTGGGGATGTGGGGATGGGGGATGTGGGAATGTGGGGATGGGGGATGTAGGGATGTGGGATGTGGGCCAGCGCCGCTCTTGGGGCGCTCGGTGCACGAAGGGGCTGAAGCAGCGATTTGGGGGAGCGGGATGGGGCAGGTGCCCAGCGGGGCTGGATCCTGCCCGTCCCATGTGGATCCTGCCCGTCCCATGTGGATCCTGCCTGTCCCATGTGGATCCTGCCCATCCCATATGGATCCTGCCCATCCCGTGTGGATCCTGCCTGTCCCACGTGGATCCTGCCCGTCCTGTGTGAATATTGCCCCTGCCCGTCCCATGTGGATCCTGCCTGTCCCATGTGGATCCTGCCTGTCCCATGGATTGCTGTGCTGGGATGTCCAGCGAAGGTGGGTTTGACCAACTGCTGCTCCCTGTCCCTTGGCTCAGGGAGGACCAGAAGAGGCCGGGGACTCCTTCCCCACTGCAGCAGCTCCTTACAGAGGATGGCTCRGTCCAAGCTCAGCTGGCACCCTCCATTGGTTTTTCCACACCATCCTGAGGATGCTGGGATGCTCCTGGGCCTGCTGCCACTCAAGGACCATGATGGGATGCAGCCTGTGCTGGCGAGGGATGCTCACAGACACTCCTGAGGGATGGATGGTGTAGTGCTGAAGGACAACTCCTGATACCACACCACACCAGAAGTCAGATCCACAAACCCACTGAGGGATTTCTGCTCCTTTTGGAAGTTTTGGTTTCTTTTCATTGCAAGTCAGAACAACCCTAAATCACAAACCTATGTCTGGATAAGACCAAGCAGTAAGCTGGCTCCCTCTCCCTTGCTCTTTGCAGGTTTAAAAATACATCTCTGCACYGATATGTATTATATACCCACTGAAGTTGGGTTCTTCTCTTTAATCCCAGCTCTGTGAAGGAGGCTTTAACCTGAGCTCACGCCGTTGGAATTCCCTGCTGCGCCAGGGAGAGGCTCCTTGCCTCCAATCGCTTCCAGATGCCATTCCTGCTCCGGGAGCTCTTCCCCTTGCAAAATGTCTCCCCCAGCCCGCCGAAGTTTTCCCGGCTGGATTCGACATCCCGATATCCGGCCAGGCTGAGTAAGCTGAGCCTTAATTTTTTAACCAGAGCCCGATGCCAGTGGCGGGAGGTTGGAGCTCACCCCACGGTGTTGCACAAGCTGGAGCCCCCGGGGTGGATCCTCCATCAGGCTTTGAGCTGCTTGCGACATCGGGTGGTTTTTAAATTTCTTTTAAAACGTAGRTAAATGAGCTGGGATGGAGTTTGGGGTTTGGRCTCCCTGGTGCACCCCTTACCAATGGGGCARAGCTTCCCTGAGTTCCAAAATGGCAGGAAACKGAGGCAGGAGAGTGCTGAGGAAGAGTTGAGGGGTCTTAAATGCTGCTCTGGGGTTTTGCTGGTGCTGTGTGCGCCCTGCCAGCCCAGCATTTCTGCTGTGGATCATAAACCACCCCTGAATGGGGATTAAACCCCCAGTCTGGCAGCTCTGGGGCTGTTGGGTTTGTCTGACCCCCTTTGGCATGTGGGTGGGATTTTATGGCACGAGGATGGATCAGCCCTGCCTGTGTTGAGAATGGAGGAGAACGCTGAAGCATTGAGGGGAAAAATGAGGCAAAAAGTGAGAAATGAGGGAGAAAAATGTAGGGAGGGGGATGCAGGTGGAGTGTGGGGATGCAGGGCTGAACAGGATCAGAGTGTGGGAATTGGGATGGTGTCAGAAATGAAGGGCAGTGAGGGGCTTTAGGGGTTAAATGTGATGCTGCCTTTGAACAAGGCTCAGGAGCAGTGCCAAGGGCTGGGAAGTCCTCGGGCCCATCCCTGTGCGATCACCAGCGCTGCTTCCAAACCAAAAACTAGAAGGGAAAAAAAAAAAAAGAATCACAAAGAGCTGTCTGTTTGGGCATATTCGGGCTCAACAGGTTTTACTCCYGGGTGGGGTCTGGTATTTGGGGTGGGGGAACTGAGGGTGGCYGAGAGCCCAGCTGTCAGAGCAGGCTCTTCATGCAAAAAGATGGGATTTGTCCTCATAAATCTTACCCGGGCTCCTTTTCCACTGCCTTTTCTCTCGTGGGGTGACGGCTGCCCTCGAGGGCGTGGGTGGTGCAGGCAGGGTGGGAAGGGATGCGCTGCTCCTGAGGAAGGGCTGGAGGAGCTGGGGGGGATTTTCAGTTAAAATATGGATGAACACARGGATTTGGAGCCCTGACACCTGCCTGAGCACCTGGTCCAGCTGCYAAAGCCCTGCATCCCCCAGCTCCTTCAGCATCCTCGTGGTCCATCAGCATCTGCCCTCGAGCTGGGGCTTCCCGGGCCCCTTTGCTGCCTAATTAACGACATCACTGCTTAATTCCCCCTGCATTTACAAGTTAAATCGGCAGATTATCTGTATTATGCAAACGCAGCTTTAAATCTTAATTATTTATTTGCATGGGGTGTCTGGAAATCGGCAGCACTAAGCCTGGGGATGCTGTTCTCTWGGAAGTGCAGACTTTTGCTAGGAAATGAACCCAAACTAGGCTTTTTTTGGTGTGGTGGGTGATGCTCAACACCCCAGCTTGGAAATATGTCTATTTTTTCCTTTTATTTTTTTTTTTGGGGTGGGGGGTGGTTGTTGTGGGAGGCTCATCCTTAAATAGCAGTGTTTTATTTTTAGGTCGGTCGCTGCTTTGGATAATCCGGCTTGGCCGGGCAGCTTTGCTTTTCTTCCCATTCTCAGGGATTTGATAGAAATAGGTTTATTAAATGATTTTATTTTTAATAAAATGATTTAATAAATTTAGTAAATTATTAACAGAATTAAACACAGGGCAGAGGATGGTGGTTCTGCTGCTGGTCTCTCTTCTGTGCTGTCTCGGACGAGGAGCATCCACTGGGATGACCATTAGCAAAACCTCTTCCCAAAGTGTAATTCCCACACTGGAATTACACCTTTGGCTCGGCCAAGGGATGGTTGGGAAGCGGCTGGATTATCTCCCACTAAATACTTGCTGGATGAATAAACTGCTGGTCCCGGGGCGATAGCGACTGGGATGACGTGAGGGATGTGCCGGCCTTGGAAACACCTCRCTCGCGCCAACTGGAGACGTTTTCTCTGGAGGAGGATGAGCTCACCTGGATTTCATTCCCCTCCCAGCCCGGCTTTTGCTCTCTCCCCCCTCGGGAGGTAATTTTAACCGAGGGAGGCTGGCGCCGGCGATGGAGCGCCGTGGGACGGACGGACGGACGGCTGCCTCGCTGCAGGTCTGGCAGGGAGAGGGACCAGAGCCTTGTCCCCATCTCCCCCTCCCCTATTTTAACAGCCCTGGGGGGATTTTGTCCTCGAGGGGCAGGATGGTGACAGGAGGAATTYGGTGGCTCATCCCCGCCCTGTGTGTGTCCCCTCCTGCCTCTGGAATACCTGCTCCAGTCCTGGCTGGCTTTAGTCTTTAACATGGGAAAGATTGGGATTTTGTTTCCTTTTGCCCAAAGCCGTGAGCATCCTGGAGGGAGATGCTGGGGAGTGGTCAGAAGGTGCCTTTTCCCCCCCTCAGATTTGGAAATGGTTATTTCAGTGATTGAACTGATAGGCAGGAGAGGAAACTGAGGCCAGCAACACAGCTGGAGAAGGCAAGGAGCAAAACCCAGCTTGTTTGGGGTTTCTTGAGGGCTCTGGGATATGCGACGTTCATTTCCTGCCGGGATCAGCTGCCGGATGGGTTGAGCTGCCTGCGGCGAGCGGTGGAGACAGCGGCCCCTGACCTGGTGGACGCTGGAACTGTGATGAGACTKTACTGGACCTTGGGCTGGACTGATGGCCTCGGCTGATGGCAGGGAAACCGCTCGGGCAGCTGGAAAACAACCCCGGGAAGAGCGGCAGCAATCCAGCTCCTGGCTCTTCCAGTCGAGCTGGAAAGACCAGCTCAGGGCAAGACCTCGGATCCACCGGGATCCCGCCGGGCCCGTGTGCTTCAGGGTATCACAGWCTGCTCATCCAGGGCTGCAGGAYCMTCCTGYRCCCCKCAGGCAGCTCYGAGCATCCTCATCCTCATTTGCACRGGCAGGGGCTGATGCTGTAATGTGAAGTGCTTTAGCAGGAGCTCCCCAGGGGGAGTTTAACCTYGCTAGTGGATCCTATAATTCACAGCTCTGAATGAAAAGGCTCCTTGTCAGCAGCGATGTTGGGTGCTCTGGTGAGTTCAGGGCTTCTGGGAAGACCCCAGTGCTGAAGGTGAATTTTGTGGCCCCGGGCACATCTGGTTTGGCTGCTGCTTGCCCTGAGCCCTGGGCATTAATCGCTCCTCAAGGCAAATGGTGATGGAAGGAGGAAGCAAAGCTTCTTTGGGTGGAGAGGGAAGGTGTGACCCTGAATGGAGCCATCCCTGCCATCCCAGGGCACGTGCAGAAAGCCTGGTCCCCGGTGAGCAGTATCCGTGAGGAACCATCGCTGGCTGCTGGAAGGTTTTCTTCCCCGTCCCTTGCACAGGGCTGTACCCTCTTTGTTAAATTAATGGGATATTAAGAGCAGAGCATTCTGTGGGGAAGKCTTGCACCTCTCTTATCTCTGCTTTTCCTGGCTAGAGGAGATAGAAAAGGGAGAAAACCTCTGGCCCTTCAGAGCTTCCCCTTGGGCTTGATCTTCCCTGCCAGGGTTTGAGGAGCAGCTGAGAGAGACTTGTCTTCCTCCCCTGCAGCACCCTTTATTGCACTGAAATGAACTGACATTCCTCCTCGTGTGTTTTTTTGGGGAGAGCCGTGACTCCCACCACATCCTGTCCATCCCACTGGTGGTTAGCTGGTGCCCAGTGGCTAACTGGGATAGCAGTGGGCTTGCTCCACCTGGCTGGCTCCTTTTTCTACTTGCTCCACCTGGCTGGCTCATTTTTCCCCTACCTGGGAAAATCACTTGGGATGGAGAGAGGAGAGGCTTTCTCTGAGAGGCAGCATGGCAGGAGGGTTTCTCTGTGTGTGTCGTGATTTCTCAGCAGGGCTTTTCCTTCCCCAAATCACAGGGATATCACTGTGCTGGGCTAGGATATACAGTTTGGAAAGTTTTGAGGGGAAAAGACGCCAGAGACATGGGAATAAGGAGCGCTCTCTGTGCCGGAGGGCAGGAGAGCTGCGTTCCCCTTTCCCTGCCGAAGGGCACCGCTGGGGTCTTAGGAAGACTTTTAGGCAAAGTCGGAGCGCGTCACGGAAGGGGGATTATTTCGGTGTGAAGGGCCCGGAGGTGTCGGGGAAAGCCTCGGCGAGGTTTGCGCTCCGCTCGGCCACTCCTCCTCCATGAGAGCGGCACAGCCCGGCCCTGGGCACTGCCGGGTGGGCGGGAGCTGGGTGCCTGTTCGGGGCTGGGTGGCTTCGTGAAGGCGGGTGGCTTTTCGGAACTGGGTGGCTTTTTTTTTGCAGAGAGCTCAGACATCCGTGCATCGTGTGCCGGCTCGTCGGGGCGCCGCTGGTGCTCCCCTCGGTGCTCCGCGCTGCCCCGCCGGGGGATCCGCAGGGATCCGCGATCCTCCGGATGGCTGCGGAGCCAAGAGCCCCGCGCCCGCTGCCGCTGGGGGTGGCTGCAGCCCTAAGGATGCTCTCCCTTCTCCCTTTCCTAGGGGAAGAGAGGACGGCGCCGTAGATCCCGCCGAGCTGCCGCCTGCTCCGCCTGGACCGACAGGACGGGCCGTAAGTAGCCGTGACTTKCTGCCAGCTTATCCCCGCCCTGCCGGGACCGGCTTCAGCCTCTGCCACTGCCGGGGATGCGGGGAAAGGTCTCCCAGAGATGGGGATCCTCCTCCCCGCGTGGGTTAACGGAGCTGGGGGTGCAGAGTGATGGGCCGGGTTGTTTGCTGGGCATCTCCTCCCGTGCCGTTAACGTGGGAGGAAAGGGCACAGGGGAACCCGGGGGATTCAGTGCTGGCCACATTGGGCTGTGGGGTTGCTCTGTGGGGTTCTGCTGCTCTGAATCTGTGCAAAACAGGAAATGGAGGAGAAACCGCCAGGCTGGGGGGTTGAGATTGTACATGAGCCTTGCAAGGGGGACGGTGACTGCAGGCAGCTTCTGAGYCCCCAAAAAGGGATCCCCGGAGTCAAAAGCCACTGGGATGGGAGTTGCCTGCGGGATAACTCCGCCTGGGGCTTCAGGTCCCTTTATTTCTCACCCCTTTTCTGCGAAGAGCTGGGGCAGTGCTGCAGTTTAGGTTGGGGATGGACTGGAGCACCTCCGTGGTTTAGGTTTTACCTTCCAGGACTATGAGGGAGCGCTGCTCCCTGTGGATGTTCTGCTTGCTGCTCCCGGGGGAGTGGGGAGAGGCTGCCTGCACCCTGCCTGCACCCCCAGCTCGCTGCCTTCCCCTTTCTGCTGCTTTTTGGGGGGATTTAGCCCAAGCATGGGTTCAAAGCTGTGCTGCCAAAGCTGTTGTGCTGCCTGCATCCCTGGGTGGGATGGGGACCCCGGAGAGTGAACACAGCACCGAGGTGACAGTGGCACCAAACCGGGGCTGGACGGGGCAGGTGGGAGAAGGGTGTGACTGAATCGATGTCTGGGAGTTAGAAATGAAATCCCACAGGTCACATTGTCACTGCCCTTGTCTCCTTAATGTCACCCCCTGGCTGGCTCCACTCTCTTCAGTACCTCAGCTGTCACCTCCAGGGTGTAGCGAGCTGCATCAGCAAGGAAGGGGCTTTATTTTAATKTTTTAAATAGCAAAAGAGTGATTAGTCCTATCTAATATAAATAATAATATATAATCTCTAATACTGTGGCTTAACTGTAGCCCTGTGATGGCCCGRGGTTACCCCAGAGCTGTGGGATGCTCAGGTGTACCCACACAGCTCAGGCTGTAGGGAGGGATTTGTGACCCATCCCTGTGGTTTTTCTGCTGTGAGGATTAAAAAAATTAAAATTAAAAATAGGGGGAGAGGAGAGAATGGAGTCAGTGCTGGTCTGATTCGCTCCAGAACATATTAAAGCTCACAGTGCCATAGGAAAGCAGAAGCAGCCTGGATTTATCCCAGGACCTGCCATTGTGGAAATACTTGTTGTACCTGAGCTTATTCGCTGTTGCCACCTTCAAAATTGCAGCCTGGTCATGGGTAAATGTTTTGTTGAGGCTCACATGCCAACAAGGGGTTGTTTTCCCCTATCTTAAATCTTTGGCTGGRTTGTTGTGTGCCTGGGATACCAGGGCTAAGGAAACAGCTCTGCCTCTCCGAGTAAGAGGCAATTAAGATTCCTTTAAAGATTCCTTTAAAGTGACTCGCAGGGCTCTTAAAATAGGATAAATGTGGGTATCAGTGCACAGGCTGGGCTGGCTCCATGCCCTCTGTGTGGCCATGGCCGATGTCCAGTGGAGCTGATATTTGCAGTGCTGTGTTCTCATGACCCTCTTCATCCCCCCAGCCCAGGACAGTGCAGCTCCTGCTCTTGCCATCGCTGTGCTCTGCTGGTTTTTGGCATCCCTTGTCCCCTCCCAGCATCTCTGGTCCCCCCTCAGTGTCCCTGTTACCCTACCAGCATCTCCATCCCATGCAACATCTCTTGGAGGTGTCTCAGACCCAGACCCCACTGCCTTTTGGGTTTGTAATGTTGCTTGCTGCAATCCCACAACGATTTTCTTCCCAGCTTGGAAAAGAATTTCCCTGAGCTCTGGGAGCTCACAGCAGCTGGGACGAGGAAGGTTTGGAGTGCCAGGCTGGGGATTTGGGTGTGTGTGATGCTCTGCCAAGCCCGGGCAGTGYCTGCAGTTGGCTGGATCGTTTCCCTGCAGGATGGCCCCCGGCTGCCTCCCAGGTTGTGCTCAGGCTGCGGCAGGCGRTGGCTGTGCTGGGGCAGGGTGTGGTGTGGGGGCTGAGCCGGTACCTGCCGGGCTCCTGCGGCGATCCCAGCCCTGCAGAGCACGGGGCTCCCGTGGGATGGGGGTTTGGGATATCCCGGGGCTGTCAGCTGTGCTCTTGGGGATGGTCCTGGTTGTTGTCCTTCAGGGATCTGCTCTGCTGGCTCCTGAAGGCTCCCTGAGCCTGGAGAGCTCGGGGGAGATGGTCTGGCTGGGACTGAAGGGCTCTGAGCTGTCCTGTCTGTCTGTCTGTCTGTCTGTCTGTGTCCCTTTGGCTCCCACTGCCAGGAGTGAGTCCCTAGAGACTGTCCCTTCCTCAGGCGCTACCCAACTCTCCTCCAGTTAAAAATAAAGGCGTGTTTTTTTGGGATAAACTGTCAAAGATGCTAATTTTTTGGTGAACATCCTTCCTACCCAGGGAAGCTGGACCAGGCAGTGGGTGGCTCCGTGTCCCGTGGGCACGTGGGATGGGGCGGTGGGAGCACAGGAGAGGTGTCCTCGCCTGGTGTCACACTTCTCCCAATCCGTGGGTTACCATGGAAACGTAAAAGTACTAAGAGTTTTTGCTGCATGGCCTGCTGGTCTGTGCTGCTTTGCCAGGATGGCCTGGGATCACCATCCATCCATGCTGGGATGGTGTGGGGGGATTTATAACCACTCCCCACCTCTTGCATGCCTTTAAATTCCTCTTTTCTCTTTGTTTTGGGGGGCTGGGAACAGCTTGGCAGGTGCTTGCTGCAACTTTGTAGATTGACTTAAATGTAGAAATGTTGGGGCTATGAGGGCAGATGGGGATGGA